TCTCTGCTTTTCCTCGCCATTGGCATCATTCTCTTCTTTTAACTGATTTCCCTTAATCTCTTACCTTCGATTTTTCTTCCTCTCTTACTTACTTCACGTAACTGACATAGCTGGGACAGCTAATGTAAGGAACGTGGGCATTAAATTGGTGGACCTGGGTGTTTTCCTTTTAGACCCATCAAGAAGTCGGAGCACCCCTATCAACTCCTGGATCGACGACCCGCTCAAGAAGGAAGACTTACGGGATTCATCCTATCGTTCCAGTCCCACTTGAACTTCCACACTTCTGCAACATGTCAATTGGGTAACTTTCTCCGCTCTGCTAAGGATCCAAAATTGGGACCATTTCTTTCTTTCGTCTGATATTAAGGGAGCCTCTGACATCTTCTATGACAATGTGACTATGTGCTTAAGCATACTTGCCTCCTGTGATAATATGAGAGCTTCTACAAAGTACGTTATTAACCAAAAGGACAAGCGGAAAATACGAGTGCTAACTCGAAATTTTGAACGTACTCACGACTTCAGGGTATTACTGAGACTCCAACGTCTTATAATTGAGACGGACATGAAACATCGAACCCGTATCGTGCAGGAAGAACAACGGGCTATAAATAGTAGTAAGATAAGTCAACTGTTGACTGCATTATTGAGAACAAAGAGAGGCGGCAAAACTGACCTACCCTCCCATATCGGCATACCTGAAGGTGAGTGCATTGATTCCCCAATTGCTATGACAGAAGCCTTTAGCACATATTTGGTTGAATCCTTTAATCTTGTAAGAAAAACCCTGGAATTGTCAACCGCGGTTCACTTCTCTGAACAAGTCTCAGCGATCAAGCTTAGTGTCGCTACAATAAAACGTATGATTACATGTCTACGACCATCCTACAGACCCGGCCCCGATGGGCTCTCTTCTGCTTTAGTCAAACACGGTGGAGATGATATCCCACTTATATTATTAAATATCTTCTCTTAGTCTCTCCAGTCTGATCAATATCCTGAACGTTGGAAATGATCTAGGGTCCGGGTCAAAAAATGACATCCGGAACTACCGCCCCATTAACCACACTGCCATTCTCTCACGCATGCTAGAGAGAATTGTTAAGGAACATTTGGTTTCGATCCTATTATCCCACCAACTTCTCTCACCTTCATAGTATGGCTTTCCGAAGTCCCGCTCGTGTGTTACCTCTCAAGTCGACTTTCCTAACCATCTAAATGAAGTAATTGACTCAGGTCTTCAGTGCATTGTTATCTTCCTTGATGTGCAAAAAGCGTTTGACAGAGTCTCACATAAGAGGCAGTTATATAAATTAAGTAAGTACGGTGTGACAAATCCGCTTCACTCTTGGATCCAATCGTACCTAGTAGGACTGTCGCTAGTTGTGGATATAAATGGTAACATCTTTTCCCCTCGTCTGGTCACCAGTGGAGCGGTACAGGGCAGTGTTTTAGATCCGTTACTCTACCTACTGTATATGAATGACCTTGTTTCTGTTATGCAATTTGGCAAGTTTTATTTGTTTGCTGATTGTTTACACGTAATCAAGTTCTCAGCATAGCGCTGAACTTAACAATATCCAAAACGACTTGAAAGCCATTGAGGGATGGGCTGATATGTGGCAGATGACATTTGCAACATCGAAGTGTGGTATCTTGGCGTACGGATGTCAGATAGCAGCAGAATTGTTCAGGCTGCATGACGAAGTCATTCCCATCAACCAGTCTGTTCGTGACTTAGGTTTAAGACATTCTAGTTCGTTAAAGTCGGGAGAAACCAACCAGGAGCTAGGTGCAACAGCAACAGTGGAATCAAGAAATCCGATGACGCAGTACATTTGTGATGGGCAAAGGATGCAGATTACTATAAGGTTATTATTATGACCAACTATGCTGAATTGGATAGTACAGCCGAATTACCGATTCACCATATGTTTCGGCATCCAAATAGGATTAAAAAGTGCTCCGCGTCACTGAAAATTTCTAATGTCAGGGGAAGGAATGAAACGGTTGAAGAAAGCGTTCTGTTTGAATGAAAGAATACAAACAGATGGTTATCACGAAACCAGAATTGGCATCCGTGATGACAGCTTTGTTGGACTGCGCAGTCGTGATGCGAATGTCATTGTGAGGGAAGATGGACATACTTTGTGGGCACTTCTGTGCAAGTAATGAGCAAGCATCATCGAGACATGTGTTTGTATACTCTAGGGAGTTCACAGATACTTCCATGGTGCGTGTAAACAGTTGTGTACTTGGCTGACGTGGGCCACGTACGAGAACCCTGACCTTTCGCAAGTGACTCGAATGGCAAAACTGAAAAATTATTCACTAGTCCCAGACTGCGAACATCCTGGCAGAAATGAAGCAGGCAATGGATGTTGAAAGCCAGCTCCGACTTGCTGTATATGCCACCGGATTGCCGGACAACCGTGCATAACATGGACTCTACATGTGTCAAATAATGAGAGTGCAGCAACCCAAAGGATATTTCTTATCTTATGTACACTTATGTTACTCAATCATACAATATTTGTTTTTATTTTAAGGCCGACTCTACGGCCATTCTGACCTACATCCGGCTCACCACTTGTCTCCACAGTGAGTTCCGACACTGACATACGCTCTCGTCACTTCATACACTTTTCGTTTGATTGTAGCCTTTCTCGAATACAATCTGTTGTGTCCGTTCTTCTGGTTTTCTGGTATCCCCACTAGAGCGAGAACACTCTCGGACTAGTGTAGACGAATCCTAGAAGAGTACCATTTATTGCAGCGAAGTACGTACGCCGCAATGGAGAGGTTAAGGAAATTTTCATACATTCTCTTCCGCAAAATGCCTCTTAACACTACGGGTAAAAGGTACATTAAGAATTGCCGATACTCCGTAGCCCTCCACCTATCGACATCCTCCAATGTGCGATATTTCCGGGGGAATCCAAAAGTCAATCGCTGTGCATAGGCAGAGCCTTTCTTTCACCACCTTCAAGGCTGTTGAGGATAAACGTATACGTTTTCAGACAGGACCGCACCGCCACAGTTATCAATCGTTTCATAACGCCTAGACAAACTATATGCATATAATCCAGGGGGAAACAACCAATCGTATTAACGCGCACGGATTCAAATGTGAAATCACCAATGTGACGCTCCCATTGACGCCGAGATCGAAAATCCTCGTCCGTACGCAAGTCCATTTCATTGGCAGGGAAAATTGATGAGGCCATCCATATGCACGTCTAGAACAACTATTCTAGATAACAGTTTAAATTTTAAATTTGCTCTTACCGACCGTGGTACATTTTTCACACGCGAAATAACCTAAATGCTGTTGCAGCTGTCGGATAAAGGCTCTTGTGAGTGTTTCAGTGACTACACAATCCAGAACTATGGGAATACTTTTCACCATGTGCATTCATTTTAGTGCTGTAGTTCAAAGTCTCACGCAACTCGTTCACAAAGGGATGGAGGAATTCGTTCACTTCGATGGGCTTGGAACATCCGCTATACAGAACTGTCACAAAGACATTCGTTTTGGGTTGCGCCAATCTCCTAAGGATTGGCCATAGCTGCAAACGAGAGGTGCGAAACGTAGACATTTCATCCAGGTGTAACTGCAACCTAAATTGTGAAATTCCCTCCATGTTCCGGTGTTGCAGGGCTCCAAGGATACCTCGCTGAAGGCCCACGTGGACATATCGTCCACGCAATGACATGTGTACTTTAATGTAAGCGCATCCAACGGTACCTGAGAATGCAAACGCCGCAAATGACTAGCACAACATTTATCTGCGCCATAGATAGCACGGCAAATGTCTTCAGGTTCCACCACTTCCGCTACCTGAATCATGTTCACTACGGAGGTTAGGATACTTACTTACTTACTAGAGGTTACTTACTGGGAGACTTTCTGTCGAACCGGGTACCACACTGTCGACACTCAGGAGTCCAGGACGCGACTCTCGTAAGACGGCAAGTACTTCTGAACAAATAAGCTCAGACAAAATATTAAAAGGCTTAGTTTTTATACATTATGGTGAATACATTCTACTTTAGTTAGTAATATTGAATTTTTGTGTCGCATCGCTCATGCAAATATAAATACTTGCGTTTCGTTGTTCTTCAATCGTTGCGTAGACGCATAGCAACGACAGTTTAGTATTGGCAAGTTTGCAACACGGAACGTATGGTTGCTTGTGTGCGCATTAGTTCAAGTTCAAGTGGGACCGGAACAGTAAGATCCCGTGAATGTTCCACCTTCGAAATCGACGTTGAGCCAACAAGGAATGCGGTGGATTGATATGCCAAAGGAAAGCCAGATCAACACACGATTCTCTTGGTCAAGCAAACAATGCGCACATGCCCTGCGCTAGCAGTCCCCGCTGTGCTGGCCACGTGAATAAAAGAAAACGAAAGGAAATAAGGGGAAAGAAAAGCTTACTAAATTTCATAAGCAGTATTGAGATGCGGGTGAAAATAAATTAAGAAGTAATAGACGAGTAAAAGCCTGTCATCATCAACATCAGCGCACATTAGATGAGAGTGAGAAACGCACCTCAGCTAATGTACCGCAATACAAAAGGTAAGCTACAAAAAGAGTTGCACTACAAAAATTCCAAGACAGGTAATATAATGTTAAATGTCATATCATGCAATTCATGAGATCGGAATCGGAGGGGAAATCTAAAGGGCAGGGGTTGGACAAAAAAATTCACAACACAAACGTCACTTGGGTCGGCTCTTCGTCACATCAGCAAGTGTGTCTAACCAAACGTGTTCATCGTCCTTACGACCCCAGCTAGGCAGTCCGGATGCACCAACCGACGCCAACTTCGAAGTGAGGGTTTTCATTTCTCTTGAACAAGTCATCGCTTGGCCTCTCCTCCTCCTCTTCCAACCGCACCCACAACGCGCAAACAATGTACGTCGCGGGAGTCGGTGTGCTGGCATGCGCAACACGTGGCCAAGCCCTCGGAGCCTGGTGCGTGACATAATGGTGCTGGGCGATTCACTAGCTCTTCCTGCACCAAATACGCGACGCCAAACACGCTTATTGCTCACGCGGTGCTCCCACCAGACATGAACTAAGCTACGAAAGGTCGCGATAGTCGAACGCGACTAGCCACTTTATGTCTGTCGACTTGAGGGGGCCAGGTTTTACAATGTATAAGAGGGTTGAACGGACGGCTGCATTATAAACTCTGCCCTTTATGGCGAGAGTGGTGTCGCATCTGCGCCACAGGTGGCGGAGAATGGCAAAAGCACCTAAAGATTTTGCTATACGGTTCGTAATCTCATGTTCCATCCCAAGGGCGCTAATATAGTTGCCTATGTACTTAAGTTTTTGAGCAACTTTAGTTGATCGCCACCAAGGTTCAGTGCAGGCGTGGGTTCCTGCCAATCTTGGAGAAGTACTTTGTATTTCGATGGAGCAAAGCATAGACCAAAACGATTGACCGCCAGTGCTAATCGGTCAAGTGCTGTTTGGCAGGTTTGGGAACTGTCACAGATTAGGGCAATATCGTCAGCATATTCCAAGTCAAAAAGTCGCTCACCAGGAAGTAGCTCCACACCTCGGTCGTGTACGGCGAACGCTGTTTCCATGACTTCATCAATAGCGAAGTTAAATGGGAACGGTGACAGCAGAAAAACTAGTCTCACACGGCTGGAGATATTGAAGGGCGGCGACAGTTTGCCATAAACCTTCATTCTGCTCGAAGTATGCGCGTACAGCGCTTTGATGATGTTTACGTATTTATCGAGCACAGCTTTTCTTGACGATCCCAAAAGGCACATGGATCAACCAAATCGAAGGCACTTTGATGTCGAGAAACACGACAACGGTGGGCCGCCAATATACATAGCGGTACTCCAACAATTGACGCAAAATGAAGATGGGGTCGATGCAGCCACGACCTCGACGAAACCAGGCTTGCTCTTCACGAATATGGCTTTCACTAGTGTCAGTCAGTCTGTGGAGAACGACAGACGCAAGCTATTTAGAGGCAAATGAGATCAGACTGATTCCTCGAGGATTGGCGCATTCCGAAAGAGAGCCTCCTCTGAAAATTGGGACTATGACGGAGCGGCTCCAGTCTGTCGGGACAGTCTCCTACTCCAAAAGTTTCACTAACTCGTGTAAATCATCTACTAGAGTAGGTCCCCCGAATTCGAAGAGGGCTGGGGGAATTCTAACTATCCCTGCGGCCTTATGCAATTTCAACAGTCTGATCTCATGTTCGACTTTAGTGCGTGAGGGTGGATATAAGGAGACGGCACATGGGGACACCCAACACCCGAAAAAGAAAGCGATAACTCAGATTAGTTAAACTGCCTTGCAAAGTGCTCGGCCCAATGCTCCAATCGTTTTGAAGGCTGCGGATCGGCTGTGCACTCTCGTCGCGTATTGTTTTGCTAACACCAGATCTGGTGCTGCCTGTTTCCCGCATCACGCGGAATAACTTACGATGATTACCGACCGCAGCGGTTGTTTTGATTTCCGATGAACGATGAGACCAACAGGCCTCGTGGTGCTTATTTAGGCTAGCACGTAGTATTGCCCTGAGAATTTTGCGAGTGACATTTTATTCGCTTGCAGCCAGAATACGTCGGCGAGCATCAATAAGTTCCATCTACTTTGTAGAGACCCAATGTCTAGGTTGGTAATATGATTTGCTACATGTAGACATGCCGCTGATGGTAACGTTTGGTGTATATGCAACCAATGACCTCCGACGGTGCTCAGTGGGTGCTTACTCAGCCCGCATGCCAACGTACTTTGATAAGCATTCAGAACACCTGCCGTCGCCAATTATGTGGTGTCAATGAAATCAGGGCGACGTTGCGGACGTCCGCCGAAACGCACCCGAAGATCGGCATACACAAGAGCGTGATCGGAGTCCACGCTCGTGTTCCAAATCGAGCGACAGTTCTGGAAGCAGTCCCTACAGTGGTAACTAACTGTGATATGAGCGATTTGCGTCCATGGCTGGAGGGCGCCAAGTCACACTTCTGTGGGTGCCATGTCGTAAGTTAGTGCTAGGGAGAAAGAGATGAGCATCTCCACACAGGTGTAGTAACCGCTCACCGTTATCATTACGGGAGCCTACAGCATGTCGACCACCCAGATGAAGCTTATCAGAAGACGATTTTCCGACAGGCGTTTAGATCACCACCACGCACCACAGTATCCGTGCTTCTTCTGTAACGAAGGAGATGGCAAGGTTGGTGATAGAAATTAACTTCCCCGAATCAGGGATGCAGCCAGGGGGGGGGCGTAAGCCACCATAACACATGCACCGTTTGTCCACGCGCGACTTCGAAGTTTGGAACGAGCCAGCTAATCTAACGGCGCACACCCGGATGTTGACTGGGATCCAATCGATCAGGGCAGCTTCAACCCGGGGACTCAAAACAATGCCGACGCCAGCTTGAGTTGCATTTGAAGCTGCGTCAACACCGGACAGGCGCAATGAGAATGTGCCGCCAGTGTCGCATGTGGGGGATCGAAGGGTAAGCACGGAGCGTCTCCGATAAACAGAAATTTCGATCGACAGGGTCTGGAGCGTTCGGTCTGTTGGCCAATCTGTAGTAAAGTGCACACGCTGAGGTACGCCAGTTCCAGCGAGGATCGAGGACTCCTAAGGAAAGCAGATGAACTGATGTTGTCCGCTTGGTTGAACATGGACTTGCCGACTGGATTGGAGTGACGCCCTGCGATTGTGCGTGAGTTGAAACTATAAGGCAGGCTACTATTAAAGCAGGATGAGGAGGGCCATGAATTGAGGATTGAAAACGGGGGGGTAAAAGTGAAGTTGGAGCGGGACGCTAATAATGAAAATCGCAAAAGGGGGAATAAGAAGGCAAGAAGGCCTGAGCAGTAGAACCCAAACCCTTATCCACCCTGCTCGATGCAGCAGATGGGGCACTGTTGATTATCCTCTGCAACGGCCAGAGCATCAAGAGATAGTTAGAAGGAAAAGTCATTGTGTACTGCGTGAGCATGATACTGTCAGGTTGCCCAGGCCTAGACAAGAGAACGATTAAGGTTCTCAAGCAAAGCCTTCGGTTCGAAAAGCTTACCGCAAGGCAGTGGGGTTTTGGCACTGGACTACAGAGAGCCCGTTTTATGGAGTAAGGAGCCACCCTCACTGCAACGCCCAATCGGCAGGGCCAGGAGACTGAGTTTGTCCGGCCTTTATCCATTGACCCACCTGGTATGAGTGGCTCTGAAGGTGCAAAGTACCACCCAGCATAGCTCAATGGATCATACAAACCATCGTACCACGCTAAGGTCCAGTTTCATCGCGATGGAAAAAACGCTTAAGGCATGAATGGGAATATTTCAAACTGCAGACTGAGGGCGTCAAGTCGAGGTTCAAAACCTTTCATCGTCAGTGTCATGGCAACTTCTGCGGGCAACACGTTCCAATAACCTGTGACCATATGCGATAACCGAAAAGTTGCCCCAACCTGGTCAGATGGGGATTTGTGCAACTTCAATGGACGGCCACGAAGGGTTGGCACTCGAGTTGAGTGGAACAGTCCATTTAAATCAGGACCAATCTGACTCATTAGTATGCTACATATGATGAGTAGATAGTACCGAAGTTGCCTGTAATGCATGGAACACATATCCAACTTACGTAGCCTCTCAGAGTACGTCAGCTTTTTTAACCAAGCACCAGTTTTGTTCGAAACCGCAAGACCCGTTCAATTGCCATCCTGTCAGGAACGAGGCATAGGGGACAAGCATGTACACAGTATTCCAAGTGTGACCTTACAAAAGATGAAAATAGTCTAACAAACATTACGGTCGTCATGATCCCAAATGATCTTCGGGTCATTCCCAACATGCCGAATGCTTTGCAAGCAGCTGCGGCCCAATGTTCACTGGACTTAAAGTCGGGTGACAGCAAGACTCAGAAATCAGCTTGGAATTGCAAGCGCAGCACTCCGCTGCCAACAAGCAAATAACGCGTCGGTGGGTCATTTGGTCCTATGCGTACGACTGAACATTTCGCGAGATTCAAGGGCAACTGCCACAAAAGGGACTAGTCCCAAAGTCTATCCAGAGCCCTTTGTAGGGTCAGTGGAACAGCCGGATCGTTTACTGTGAATCAGAATCAGAAGTCATCCGCAAACATTAGGGATGGCACTTCCAGCACATCAGGTAAGTCGCTAACATAAAAAGTGAAAAGGGGACTAAGGGCTGAACCTTGAGGGACCCCAGTGAGAAAGCAATGTCGGAAAGACAAGCCGGAACCTACACGAACACTCATCTCCTTTCCGATTAGGAAAGGTGAAATCCATCATAAGACAAGTTCAGAAATACCGTAGGACTGCAGACTGTACAAAAGACGCTAATGCGGAACGGAGTCAAAAGCTTTGGAAAAGTCAATGAACATCACCTCCACTGTCTACCTTCGCTAGACAGCTTCAGCTCAATGTTCTCGAGCCAACAATAAGTTGGTAAGGCAAGAGTAGCCCTTAAGAAAACAGTGTTGAGAGGGGTTAAGCAACCCAAATGCTCTTAAATGTCGTTCGAGAGCGTCGCTCAAAGTTTTTTCAACAGCCTGACCAGCACGCTCGTCAAATTAATAGATCTTTGGTTTTCAGGGTTTGTCACCTTTTTTTTAAATGGGACATAAGCCTCCTTTCCGTCGGTGGGTAGAGAGCAGCTGCGTAGACTATTCAAACAGATGCGTAATCGGAGGACGAAGTTCGTCAGCCAACTCGTACAACAGTTTGGGATGAATAGCATCCACCCCAAAAGCTTTATTGGGATTTAATACCCACAGAAGCCGGAGCACTTAAGCCTCTGATATGGAAACCTCCTCCAGGAAAAGCCCTCAGGAACTTTGGCCTGCAGGCTGATATGCGGCACCTGACTCTCTCGTAATCTGTGACAACAGCAGAGCCATCAAAGCTAAGCATCAGGATAGACGAGTTTACGTTATCTCGCCTTTTGACATAAGCGAAAATGTGTTTTGGATTACGTGAGGTTGCACGAGCAAACTCAGCCGTGTACCGTCTGTCGGTAAATATACAAATTTATTTATTTATTTAGTAAAGCACCTCGCAGATGCTGTCTGCAGGCATTTCGAGCCTCGCGGAAGCGCTTGAAGGTGCATGATGAAGGAGCAGAAAAGTAAGTTCGCCAAAATCTAGTACGTCTGTTAAGTTATTTGCGTGCAGCAGAATCAAACCAGGGTGACTGCCATTGTTTTATTCATCCCAGAATGTGGTATGTAAGGAGAAGAGAGCTCATAGAATTAGGACTAAAATTTGCCCCAAGCTGCCCGAATATTGTCAGTTTCCAAAATGACACAAGGCAACCTTGCGGCCTTGGTTTTCATTGCTTGAAAGTCCGCACGCCATATATTTGGACCACCGCCGGGACGATCATTGGTCATATGAGCAAGAGCGCACTTGAACGACAGACAAGCGTGGTCGCTAGCACCGAGAGGTGAGTTGTATACAATGTCCGCGACTAAGTCAACGGATTTTGAAAAAATAAGGACCAAGAGATACGGGTTTTTGTCCCATCGTGAATCTAGTGGGCCGCTCAAAGGATTCGATGTGAGGACTATTTTCCATAATCTATGATTGGCTACGATTTTTCCACAGTAAGCCAGGTATGCGCGTTGCACTGTGCTAGCAGGGGAACTGATGCAGTGGAACATGCAAGGCTAGATCCAGAAGCATAGTAGAAAAATACCTTGAAATTCTGCCAGTCAACATGGGGGAGATTAAAGTCCCCCATCACTAAACACCTACTCACCGAATGTTCACGG